CACCGCTCAGCCCACTGGTAGCTCACCCCCCCGGTCGTGGGAGAAGCAGGCAGGCTCTGCACAAAAAAAACCAAAAAAATAGTATCTGTCCCCTCACCGTAATAGTGATGGAAGCCCCTAAATTGAAGTGGTGGGTTTTTAATCACTGTAATTAAAAACCCATTGTTTCAATTTAGGGGACTAAACCCCTATCGTGTATAAGCGCCCACTGAGCACAGCTTTGTGTGTGTGATTTCATACAAAAGAAATTGGCTGCCAAGCTTCTTCAGAGTCTAGCAAGTACAGTAGAACCTTATTAGAACAACCCTGAGTCAGAAAGAAGGGCTCATCAGGTCCCAACTGCAATTTCTGGAGTTAATACTCCCTTAACCATAGTAATAATGCTTCACATGACTATAACATTAAGCATTATATGGTCTGCCTAGGATGGTGTATTCAGTAGAATGCAGACACTGGGAGGTATTTACCACCAAACGTGCTGATATACAGCATAGAAAACAAACCTATTTCCAGATTTAGAAAACCACAGGAATAGACCTACACTCTTAGTATGAACCACTAAAAGCTACTTTATAAAAGTTTACTTCTTAAAAGAAAAAGGAAAGGAAAGGAACAGAGAAAAGGGAAGAGAGAAAAGGGGAGGAAAAGAAGGGGAAGAGGCTTTGCAAGTTCAGGCTAGGACAAAGAGTTGAGACTTGGAATGAGAGAGAAAAATAAAGGAAAAGCTATTTTTGCCAAGTAGAAACAGTGCAGAAAGTCTAACCACTAGAAAAGACCAGCTACTAAACAGGAAGAGTGAAGAGAGTATCGTCAAGCAAGATCTGTTTGAGCAAGCCCAAAGGAAGTTTAAACAAGAACAGGGACATTTTGATTTAGATCTAGAAATTAACAAGGAGCCAAGGAAACTGTTAAAGGACCGCACAAATCGTCATACTATTGTGCATGTATGGAGGAGGCAGAATGATCTCAAAAACTCAGCATGAGCAAGAATTTGTCCCAAGATCAGGTGATGCAAACAAAGAACTAAATAAAATCTGAACAAGGGGGAGAGATCCTAGCATCATGTCACTGAATGAAGACCACTCATTTTCCCTCCAAGTTCCATGTCAGAGCTTCCCTAACCTTTACAGACTAATTTGTCTGAGCAACTGCAAGTCTGAAAGAGAGCAAGGAAATAGACAAACAGAAAAATTAGGATGGAAACTAAGACCTCACCTGAAGTCCTCAGAGCCAGCAGAGCAGATATACTGATCCAGGTAATTCCATTTGTATTCTTCTAACCGTTCATGGGAGAACTCTACCCAGCAGAAAACAAATTCAGAGTCCAAGTGGGAAGGGCACAAACTGTATGTGTAGTTTATTTGAGCAGATTCATATGGATACCTAAAAGAGACACGGCAAACCTTAACAATCCTGACACTTCCAATGGTAACAGTACAGGAACAGAAGGAAGTGAAATAAACCCATTCATTCCAATTCAGATAGTTTCATAGTTTCTAGGGTCGGAAGGGACCTGAGCAGATCATCTAGTCCAACCCCCTGCCATGACAGGAAAGAGTACTGGGGTCAAACGACCCCAGCAAGCTGTATATCTAGTCTCCTCTTAAAGATCCCCAGGATAAGAGCCAGCACCACTTCTCTTGGAAGTTGGTTCCAGATCCTAGCCGCCCTGACCGTGAAGTAGCACTTCCTGATGTCTAGCCTAAATCTACCCCCTGCCAGCTTGTGAC